TTTTTATCTTCCTTCTGTCTACTCGTGCTGGTGGTCTTGGTATCAACCTTACATCCGCCGATACTGTCATTTTCTACGACTCCGATTGGAACCCCACCATCGATTCGCAAGCCATGGATCGAGCACATCGTCTGGGTCAGACCAAGCAGGTCACAGTCTATCGTCTCATCACGCGCGGCACAATCGAAGAGCGCATTCGCAAGAGAGCGATGCAGAAGGAAGAGGTTCAACGTGTCGTCATCCAGGGTGGCGGTGCAAGCGTTGATTTCTCTGGCCGTCGTGCTCCCGAGAACCGCAACCGTGATATTGCTATGTGGCTTGCCGATGATGAGCAAGCTGAGATGATCGAGCGTCGTGAGAAAGAGCTCCTCGAGTCAGGCGAGCTTGAGAAGCAGCAAAAGAAGAAGGGTGGCAAGCGACGCAAGGCTGAGAACACGGCCAGTCTGGACGAGATGTATCATGAAGGTGAGCAAAACAGTGTGACTTTACTCGTGCATTCCGAGCTAACACATGCCAGGCGAGGGCAACTTTGATGATGGATCCAAAGGCCTATCTGGCACAGCAACACCAGCTACCGCAGCCACACCTGGTGACAGTGATAGCAAAGGCAAGAAGGGTAGAAAGGGGACAAAGCGAGCCAAGACGGCGAAGCAAAGGTTAGCGATTGCTGATGGTATGATGGAGTAAGGGAGGTCGACAGCGTCAACTAGCAACGCTTGTAATATCAAACGCAAGACTTGAGAGTCGTATGGGCTCACGGGAAGACGAAGGGAGTTATTCATGTATCTGCTACGTTACTTTTTCTATTTTCTTGTTGTCATGGCGAAGGAGCCGTCAATAGGGGGAGTTGGAAGTGAAAATGCCGATAAATTATAGCAGGGCAGCGAAGCATCGTCTTGGAACAGAGGCATGTATTATTACTATAGACGGAGGGTAACAAAGTATATGTGTCTGTCGTGTGTGTCGGCATTTCTCTCAGTGCTGTGTGCATGACTCGCGATAGGGCTGCCCACTTCAACAAACACAAGCCTCGTCATCCGGTATGGTGTAGTGGCTAACATTTCGCGCTCTCATCTTCTAAGCTGAGGGATCAGTACCGCGGAGCCCAGGGTTCGATTCCCTGTACCGGAGTCCTTATCTTTTGCTGGTATTGACAGTGTCTTTTTGCTGATTGCTGATTGTTGCAATCAATGAAGGTGAATGGAGGAGATCTGGTGGGTTGGGTGCTGGGTTGGGTGCTGGAGTGAGTAGCAGACTGCTGCTGTTGATCTGGCTTGTTGCTTGCTGGCTGCTTATGTTTAATAACTTAAAATTTTAATACTGGTATAATAAAGCAGAGGCAAGAGATGGGATTGTCTGAGGGTTGTGTTGGTTAAACTTGGTGATGATGGATGAACTTGAGGAAGCAAGATTAAGAGTGCTGACTATTAATAAGATGGGCGTGGGCGAATTACATGCTGATAACAACAACTACTAAAAGAGTGAATAACTTATTACCACGATTGGGTTTTTGCGATAGTGATCTCGATTGGTTGTGTGTAGATAGTTCTCTGGTCTGGCGTTGCTATTGCTTCATCTCCAAGTCAAGCTCTTATCCCAGGGTTGTTCTGCCTCCTCTCCTATACTAACCCACGTAACCAATGTGGGTCCTTGCCAACGGCTGTGAATGCGGTGCACATACAACACTTCAGGCAATGTCATTTTCTGTTATACATCCTCATATATTCAAGCATTTTCGTGTTGTGTCGAGCTTACTGAGAACTTACCTGGCAGACCTCCCCGTTGTCACTCGTTGATCACCGATCGCTCAATCACGGGGGACAACGTGTTGCCCCGATTGTAGAAGTCTTACTGCTGAGACTAGATGGGCATGTGTCTCAGTTGAATGACCGCAAGAAAACCATGCTCTGCGGACCAAAGACAGACATGCTGTGAGTTGCCGATATCGTTCATGGCCGGGGCACCTCCTGCGAGCATGATATGAAACTGGGAAATAAGAAGACTGGTAAGAATAAAAAGAAGTCGGGTTCAAAGCACAAGCCCTATCGTTAGCCCATGCTCACCACTCTATATCTACACAAGAACTGCGAAGCACCCATTGCCAGGCGGTTCTGCATTAACAAACACAAATGTCGATTTGTATCGTGATAGACAACACCATCGCTGGATATAGAATTGGCTCTGAATCTCTTTTCACGTACCCTCCTGTATGATGATGCGACAACGTCTCCTGACCGGAAACAGGGTCTCAGGAGCAACAACTTATGCGTGCCACCCACATAGACGTGACTATCTGCAACTGCACAATATACACATGGAACTTCGCGTGTGATGACAGCTAACTGCATGTCGTTGCACCCAAGTCCAGCAGAGACATGAGTGCCAGCTGCCAACAAATCGTTACGCCCAGCCCAGCACTCCCATGCTGTTCTCGCCTGATTGGACGCCGGAACTTCAACGAATCATCATCCGGTATGGTGTAGTGGCTAACATTTCGCGCTCTCATGACCTGAGAGATTAGTTCCGCGGAGCCCAGGGTTCGATTCCCTGTACCGGAGACCTATATCTTTTGCTTCCTTGGAGAGATGTCTCTATAGTGATGTGGAAGAGAGATATCTTTTTGGCCATGGATGTGAAGAACTGTGGTGAAAGTGGAGGTAATGTAGGTATTATCTGACACACTTGTTCAGAAAGCAAAAGACAGATCTGGCCATAGACAGGCCTTATTTGGTCTATGCACTTGCTCGTAGAAAAGGGATTATCGGGATGAGGAGCGACGAAAGGGTAGGAGGAATAAATAGGGAGCCAATAAAGAAGCGCAGGCATAGACATCCGAGGATACAGATATGTCGCCCCTTACCAGCGCTGTAATACCTCTTGTCGCGATGATAGACGTACATGTCGTATGTTTTAGGAGAAAGTTCAAGTGTATATAGACTCAACATTCCACGTCGACTGAGGAACACCGCCTCCTGCAGCTCAGTAATGTCGTGCGGCGCAGACTCTGCTTGCTGCTGTCATTGCAGCAAGAAGACTAACATTGTTCATGCTGCGCGCTGAATGCTGGGCGTTGTGAGGCGAGTTTCGAGACGGGTTCCTTCTCGGCAGAACTCAAAATTTAAAGACAAAGTTGAACGCAATTTCCAGAATGACTCTCATATAAACAAGGGAGACCATGCAGGCGAGTACACCCAGGTCGTCGCGGATACGTTTTGCATATCGCTTGCAAGTTGTTTGTCGGGGTGAATGCCATGTTTGCGACTAAACGGAGTTGCAGACCGACACCGAAGACTGCTGCCAACGTCTCAGCCCACTTGGACAGGGGAGGTAGAACAGCATGAGCTGTCCTTGATGGTGGTGAAGTTGATGTAGGAGTTGAGTCCGGAGTTGCCTAGTGGGGCAAGAACTCAATTCATCCGCTCCGAAACATCGCTGCTCAGAATGGCAGGTTCCCCTCACAGGTAATTAATTGCGAGACTCACCTACGGAGTCTCTCTCTTATTTCTTGCCCATGACATACCTGCCTGCTCCTCCGTCTGTTGCTCGATCCAGTGTATATCGACAACATCAATTGCCAACCATGCTCTTACCATCCATCCCCTTCGATCACACATACCAGAATCATTGCTATCTATCAATAAAGAGAGTTAGATCATGACGCTGGCCTCTGACACTATCACCTAACAAGACGAGCTTGCTGGAAACAGCAAAAAGAGACTCCGGTACAGGGAATCGAACCCTGGGCTCCGCGGTACTTGATCTCTCAGATTATGAGAGCGCGAAATGTTAGCCACTACACCATACCGGATGATGCTGCTTATAATACAGGGGTCTGAAACGCTGGCTAGATTCGTCGCCGCTGGCTGAATCAGTGCCAGAAGATGTAAGCCGGTGGGTGACCTTAACCGGGAACTCGGCCATTGAGGCTTCAATCAGGAGAGGCTTCTTCCTCAAATTGCACAGTGGGTCTTTCATCCTATCAATAAGATGTTCAGCGAGGAAATGAAGAACAAGGCCTTCATGCGATGCCACAAGTACAGCCGATGCTGGCTGGATGGGATTTGCGCTGTGAATGAGGACTGGTCCGAATATCGCTTTGCAACAACTATCCAGAAGTCCCTCGATAAGGACAAATGTAACAGCGAGTTTTGAGAAGAGGCTCGATGAAAAAATTGAAGTATTCAAGAAGGAGATGATGTTGGAATCGACGAAACCTAGTCTATATATTCGTGGCCAGGCGCAACTAAACGCCTCAATGGATGTAACGACAACTCTGAAGCTGAGCGGCTTAGTCAACAGATTAGATCTCGAAGCACTAGCTCCGATGTGTCGAAGAAGCTGTAAGCGGCTCACAAGGGTCTTCTCCTGCTCATAACTGAGAGACTGGACTCGTCGACCTTTTCCATGAAATTGCCATCAGATTACCTAGACAAGGACTTAGGGCAGAAGCGACTAAGGCCAGGGGCCAAAGATTCGTGCTCTCAAGGCCATTTGGAAGACTTGACCTAGTAGCAGACATATGGTCTGGGAATGAACGAGATAGACTGTAAACTCATTAAGAAATTTATATGAGATGCCTCGGTTGGGGATGTATCATTCAAGGATGTAGAGTACGTTGGTCGATAGGTTACCACTGACAGGCGATCCAAGGAGATATAAAGGGCGCCGAAGAAATAGCAGCCGAGTTAACATATAGGTAGTAGGCAATTTAATTTGCAGTTGGTCTTGGATAACAGCGATTCATTCCCAGTTATAAGTAAGTGCATTAACACCTTTCAAGTTGCCTAAGGACTGTGTTATATGCCTTAGGCAGATAGGTCTTAGGATAAGTTTAGGATAGAGGTATTTTAAAAGGCCGTGTTTATTCGCTTCTTCAACTTCCTTATCCTTCTTTCCTCCACATCTCACATATCTCAACAAACACATCTCAACACACAGAGAATTCTACCAACTCAACAACCTTAACCCTCTTTCGAAAGCATCACACCTAAGACTTCAATATGTCTTCCCAGTCCATCGACTTGACTGGCGGCTCACCGCCAACAGGTAAGTTAAATGCTTTCTTCTATACCTAAACTAATAAATAGACTAGCAGGCATACCCCCTCCTTTGGTAGAAAGAGAGCAAGCTTTACTACTAGCTACCGTCCCTCAAGAACAGACATCAGAACAGAACTCGTACTTTCTATATAAGAAGGAGTGTCGTCTCGCTTGGATCAAGTACCTAGGCCTCCTAGGAAGGGTCAAGCTCCGCGAGGGGCTTGACAGGCTTCCATTCTTTTACGGAATGCCGCCTGAACATTTGACGCTGCAGATTGACACAGAAAGATTGGAACTCATCCAGAAAGGGGCAATCAGCGACCCTAGGAATTCGCTGATAACACTCAATACAGTTTTGAACAGTCTCAGAAACAGGCCTCAGCAGTCCCATATCGCATGGGGCGTTGTCCAGCAAAAGCTGGCCAACTCGCGTCCGCAGCTTAATGCCCCAATCATAAATGAAACCTTGATCTAGGCAATCAATACTTTCATTGAGGATCGGGATAAAATCAAGTACTGGGAGAGCGCAAGCTCAAGGAATCCCATGGTGCTTCTGCAATCGACCCAGACGCCTTCCGGGCAGACTTGTGTATACAAAGTGATCCAGTATGCAATGAACCGTCTGGTCGGAATCCAAACCCAAGAGGACGACCCACCAAGCTGTCCCGGATACGTTCTCCCCATGGCCTCCTTCGAGAGGGCTGTTATGAATGCGCAGAGGACGAAAGATGAGACCCAGCGCAGGCAATGGGCTGACATGTCCCTACGTTCGCTACGGAAGTTCATGGACGCGCAAAACAACCAAGCGGTTATCGATAAGATGATTGAGTTCCAGAAACATTATGAAGCTTTGGCGGCTCTGAGCTCGAAGTGAGCAAGAAGGGCAAGGGAAATGGGATCCGCGAATTGTGTTTACGAAGCGGACGGAAATAGGGAAAAGGATATTCTTGACATGAAGACGGAGGGAAATATTTTGCTACAATGATGGAACGAGAATGAACAGTTGAGGGATGAAAGAAAGGGCTTATGAAAGTAGTTGAATTGATGATTTGGAAGGCCATATCTTGATCCTGTGATACCGCCAAGAGTGCTAAATGTCCTGTAACACTGGCCAGAAGAGACAAAAACTTAGGACGACTATAAAATGGAGATGGAGGCAAGTTGAGTAGACCTTTGTATTACCTCGATCCAAGGTGCCGGATGCTTTCTTACACTCTGAGGAAAGGTATGTCCTCCAACGTACCCTCACCATCTCCCCAAATAAAGAGCAAATTTCCATCCTCAAGCACTAAGGACACACTTTAAAGTCCCTGCGCGTCCTCCATCCGGATTTGCCAGAGCGACGTAGGCTCAATAACCTGGCAAGGCAAGTTGAGATGGAAAATGGCGTCTCCATGAGATCTAATGGTCTCCCGAAGTCGCTCATGCTTGGCTCTGAGCTCCGCCGAATGGAGCTTAGCAACATCCTCCCATGCCTGCAAGGCTTTTTGGCTGATCTCCAAGTCCCAAGTTCCTCGCCAGGTAATATGCGCGTAGTGCTTTGCCCTGGTGTATATGAATGCACAAGCTCTCCCCGCCCCTCCATTCCAGAGTACCATAGTAGTCAGGTTCGGCATTCGCAGTACGAGCCTGGCTGCTGCGATAAGAAGGTTATCGATGCGCTGCTTCTGTCCATTTATACTCTGAAAGAGAAGACTTGATGTCAGGGAGAGAGATTGCAGTTGATCCCATGTCCATTCTTTCTCGCATGCCTTGAAGAAGTTCATAGCATCGATAAAGAATGAGACAGAGAGTTCATCAAGTCTCAGACTTGCCTGAGCGATGCTCTTCGTGTTGTCGGGGAGATCGGACTCCGATTCGAATCCCAGAGGGTCGAGCAAAACACCATATTCTTGAATGATTTGAAGGACGCTCTCTGTGAGATATTGTTTAGAATCCTGAAATAGGATCACTCTTTTGAGAGTGTTGGACATGTGCGCGCCAATCAGCGCCAAATCCCCTAGAACAACCTGATTAGCATAACAGCTCATTATCAAGAAGACAGCGCTCCAGTATTGGTAGGTTCACGTACATAGATCCGGATATAAACTTGCATATTCTTCAGGCCATGGTTCGTAAACAACATCCGTTAGGCGGCTAAATCTGGACAAAATGTTTTTGAATTCCTGAGGCCTAAGATGATGGCGGAATTGTCGACGGATCATGAAACGGGTAACTGCGTTGACCTCGGGAACATATGCGTCGGGAACATAATAATCAAAGTCGATACGCCCGAAAAGCTGGTCATGTGCGGTGAAAGGTGGAGGTTTGGTCTGGACACCATTTTCCCAACCGCGCTCGGGGTCGTGCCAGTCACTATGGCTTGCTTCCATGGGGATGACTGGGTCTCGGGCATAAGGAGCATCGTGCTCGTCCTTGAAACGAAAGTTCTTGAACCAGTGCTTCGAGTCACTAGCAGACGATGCGTTGAGTTCCAGTGTCAAAGGGGTTGTCGTGTTCCACGTGCTGAGAATGATCAAAAGCTTTATGACCGCCTCACCCATAAGACGGCTATTTGTGACGACATCAAACTCTTTCTCACAAGAAGAACAGCCGTATTCGGCCAGCTCAACATTGAGATAGATGTGCCTCACAAGGTTTCTCTGTCGAATCACTGCTTGCTCAAAGTCCTCTAGACACGATGGCCGGAGGCTCAGCTTGGCCATATTTCTCGTTCCGATAACGCTTTGCCACTCTTTAGACACCGAGGCCAAAGCAGACCAACGAGGATTTCTCTGATCGACTATCGTGTTTAGAATGTTGTGGCGAATCTCTGGTGGTAGATACGACCACCCGAGGTAGCCTGAGCTGCGAAGTCTCATTTTGCGCTGCTGAGCTGCTTGGTTGGCTATGAGGAGAAGGTAATGATTTTGTGTGCGATGAGCTGGATCATCTTGACCGAAGAGCAACAGGCAGGGCCTTTATTGAGAGCTCTTGGAGGCTGTCATCAGGACGTCTAGCTTTTTCAGTCAAAAGCTAGATCATAGGCGCCAGTGAGGGCAAAGAGTCTATTGCCAATATGTGTTGATCTGTTTCTTCTTGACCGTTGTGTGTTGGGACTGAAGCCTCTTTAAAACTCAACCTTATTGTCACAGAGAAGGTAATGAAGGAGGAAACAAGAGGTCAGTCTGGTGAATCTATTACTTCTGAGAAAAGCTCTTCAGAGTAAACTTTTGTGTATCGAAGCTTAAGTGTATAGATTAAGGTCACGATACTTGTGACGAGTGCTATTGGTTTTGCTGTGATAGGGTTCAAAGGTGTAATCTAGAGAAGTGGTCACTTTGACTCTGTTCGAATGTAACATAGTAGTAAGACGAGGCATCTCATTCAGCGGTCTCAAGACCTTGGGAATATGGTTTCAGGAATCTGCTTGTACAGCTACCTTAGTTTGCGCATCAACATTTGGCTTGATCATTTTGGGTGAGGAACCTCTTGATAGGGTGGAAAAGTATATGGTGGCGATGCTCAGCGTAGGCATGATCCTGTTTCGAACAATGCCGCTTTCTGAAGAATGACAGCTGCCAAAAGGTGTAAGTCTATGGAGGTTGATAATTTGACGCTGTTATGGTGTAAGCCAGTCTCATCTCCGTTTTGATATCTCAGAACAGAGAAAACATCAACATGATGGATGAATGAAGAAACATCCGAACGAGGGGCAAGCTCCATGACAAGGATCATGATCCAAAAAGAATGTCAAACCAGTCAGCGTCAACCCTAGAACCGAGCTCTTGGCGAATAACGAGAAAGGATACGACTCGCGAATGCGAAAAACGAGGGTGGATGACGATACGTGATACGCGGACAGTCTCCAGTCCAGTGAGGCCGGGTAAACCTAGTAGGGATAGACTTGATTGGTTGAACAAGCGACTAAACAATAAGAGTATTCGCATTGAATAATTCTGCCTAGGAATGATTGCTATACGAGTATAACGGACGTATAATCGTATTGTACTGCAGCCTGGAAAATTGGGTACGGGTCGAGGTTGAGTGCGTGCAGAAATGACGAAGGACCCGATGATCCATTGAATGAATGGATGTTACGTCATTTTATTGTAGTTGGAGTTAGGGGTTCAATTCACCTAAAAAAGGCTACCTAAAGAGCTGTCATCAATTCGGCCCCCAGATCCGCTGACCACTGAATCCATCTGTACAGTAGCACCATATTTGAGTACCGACCTTACATCCACAAGAAAACAAGAAACAAGTCGAGAGCTCTTGGCTCCTTCTACGTCGGTCATTTCGTTCCGCTCCTTATTTCAGGGCTATACCCGCATTCTCTCCCTCCTCTTCTTATCTCCCCTCTCTGCCTTGCCTTATCATATCGTCTTGACGACTACGAAGCTGCGACAGCTCAAGACAAGACCACTTTAGGGCATTTCCTGTGTCTCACATTCTCAGACTAAAACGTCACGACTTGACTCGTCTATTTTTGTCGCTTTCTGTTTCCGATTGTTTCGTCTTCTTCCGCGGGCGCCGAGTTGACAACTACTGCCGAAACTCTATCTTCCTCTCCAAGGCGAGGTCGAAACAAATCCTCACCATTTACCACGACATCTACGACGATCATACGAACATATACTATACATATTTACGAATATGAGCTCTTCGATAGATCCTCTTCCCAATGGGAATGGTCACGCTGGCGATCATGACCACGTTATACGCCCTCGACCGCGTAAACCCAAACACTCGCAAGTCTCGGAGGTCCTTCGCATGTCCACAGCAGAAGATAGCGAGGGACATCTCATGCCCGATAATTTGAGCACAGGAACTGCCAGTGGGTTGACTAGGTATGATTGAACCTCCAAACCGTTCGCTCAAGCTAATTGTGTACAGCGGTCGTTCCACGCCCGTTCCAGAGAATGCGCCTCCATCCGTTAAAGTCCTCTCGACAGTTCGAAAGCAAACCCGCGCAGAGCAACGTCGCCGTATATTTCCCACGATCGAGTTCGCCTCGCGAGTTAGTCATTTTGACCCCGAAAGCGATTACCGAGATTTCCATGGCTTCTTCAACCTCTTCTGGATTGGCCTTGCCATCATGGGCATCACCTCAATGCTACGCAACCTCAAAGACACTGGGTTCCCTCTGAGAGTGCAAATATGGGGCCTCTTCACAGTCAAGCTCTGGCATCTTGCCATTGCCGATTTCCTTATGGTCGCAACGACAGCTGTTAGTCTGCCATTGAACCGTGCAGCTCGAAGTGCAAAGCCCGGAAGCTTTCTGTCCTGGGACAAGGGTGGAATAGCTATTCAGAGCATCTACCAAGTTGCTTGGCTTTCGCTTTGGATTGTTGTGCCCTTTCACTTCGAGTGGACCTGGACGTCGCAAGTTTTCTTTCTCTTGCATACCATGGTACTACTGATGAAAATGCACTCGTACGCTTTCTACAACGGACATTTGTCTCAGACGGAGAAGCGACTCTACGCTCTCGACAACCCCTTCTCACCTCACGATCGACGACCAGCCTACCAATATCCATCCACCGATAGTGTCACTAACGGTGAGGCTACTGCTTCTGGTAGCAAGAAGCGTCGGCGAAATCGTAGCAAAAAGCGACAGCAAGCCAAGCGCAGCAACAGCGATGGAAACAAGAGCAACGAGGAGCTGGATGCTGCTAACAACAACCTTTTGGTACCCAGTCCTGTCGCGAGCGGTAACAACAGTGCCGACGAAGTCGATGAGTTGCGAGAGGATCTTGCCCGTGAGCTTACGAGTCCCATTGGCAACGTCACATATCCAAACAACCTCACATGGTCCAACTACATGGACTATCTCCTCTGCCCAACGCTCTGCTATGAGATCGAATATCCTCGAATGTCCCGCATCAACTGGATTTCTCTCATTTCCAAGATCATTGCCACTTTTGGTTGCATCTTTCTCTTAACAATCATCTCAGAAGATTTCATTCTTCCCGTTCTTACCGATGCCTCAGAGCGCCTCGATGCCGTTCCCGCAGTATCATCGCTTTCCGAGAAGTCCCTCATTCTAGCCGAGACCATCTCATGGCTTCTCTTCCCTTTCATGCTCACGTTCCTCCTGGTCTTCCTTGTCATCTTCGAATACGTCCTCGGTGCATTCGCTGAGATCACTTGCTTCGCTGATAGACATTTCTACTCTGACTGGTGGAACTCAACCGACTGGATGGAGTTCTCGCGCGAGTGGAATATTCCTGTGTATAGCTTCCTTCGTCGCCACGTCTATAGCGCCTCTCGACCTCGCATTGGCAGAGGAGCTGCCACGGCGTTGACATTCCTCATCTCTGCTATTGGCCATGAGATCGTCATGGCTTGTATCACCAAGAAGCTCCGTGGTTACGGCTTCGTGTGTCAGATGCTTCAACTACCCATCGTGATGCTCCAGCGTACACGATGGGTCCGTGGCAAGAAGACCTTGAACAATGTCTGTTTCTGGGCATCAATGGTTCTCGGTCTCAGCATGGTATGCCACAATTCCCAGCAATCACGTCATACTGTAACTAATAACTTCACAGATCTGCGCTCTCTACGTTCTCGTGTAGTCAAACCAGGCTCTTGAAGAGTATGCTGGTCATACTGAGCTCTTTATCGCATGTAACATCTGTACAACACCAACTTTAGATACATGTCCCATCTCAATTCCGCCTTGCGGCTGTACATATGGGCTTCCAGAATTGGAAACGAGAAACGGATTAGCAACAAGAAGGAATGGACTACTTCCCAATCCCACAAAGATAGATTATATACCCCATAGTAAATTTGATTGAGTCATTGCTTCAACGCGTAACCTATCCTCAGGGAGCAAGAAAGCATCAGACCTTGATACAGGGTGTCACAATAAACTCAGCAAAAGATATCGTAAACTCTTACAATATTTAGGCTAAACTTATACTCAGTTACCTAAGTTACCCAAGTTTTTTGTCATTTAGGATCAGAAATTAGGATCAATTCACACATTCACATCACATTCAAGACAAAAACAGTTGTTCTATACCATTTCCATTTCGCGTCTACTTCATCTCTCTCGTAATCATAGAGCTAACTAGAGTTACACCCCGTTCTCCTTAAGAGGACTGGGGAATGAATTATGGCAGAATAAGCGGCTGCTCAAATCCGATAAGCCCGCATAAAAACCAGAAGACAGAAAAAAGACCTTGTTGCTCATAAAAACCGAAACCCTTCAACTCCATTGACTTTTTATGGTATCCCGTTTAGCGTGCGTGGTCATTTAGTCAACCTCCTCCATGGCGCTGTCACCAGTGGCGGCGGCAGGGGCATCGGTGGCGGCATCAGCCTCAGCAGGGGCAGAGTCATCCTCCTCAATGTTGAGTCCAAGCTGGACAAGCTTGTGGATGCGGTCGGCGAAACCAGCGGGCTCGTCAATGGTGAAGCCAGAGACAAGGAGAGAGGTCTCGAAGAGAAGCTGGACGATGGACTTGACAGTGCGGTCGTTCTCGCCGTCAGTCTCAACCTTCTTCTTGAGCTCCTGGACGATAGGGGACTTGGGGGAGATCTCGAAGGTCTTCTTGGAAGACATGTAGCTGGACATGGAAGTGTCGCGGAGGGCCTGAGCCTTCATGATACGCTCCATGTTGGCGGACCAACCGAACTGACCAGTTCGAATAGCGCAAGGGGAGGTGCCGAGCTTGTGAGAGACGACAACCTTCTCAACCTTATCGCCGAGAACATTCTTGAGGGCCTTGGCGAGGCTCTCGTACTCCTTCTCCTCAGTCTCACGGGCCTTCTTCTCATCCTCGGTCTCCTCAAGCTCGAAGTCCTTGGTGATGTCGACAAGCTTCTTGCCTTCGAACTCCTTGAGCTGAGTCATGGCGTACTCATCAATAGGATCAACAAGGAAGAGAACCTCGAAGCCCTTCTCGCGGAGAGCGTCCAAGAAGGGAGACTTGGAGACAGCCTTGATGGACTCACCAGTGATGTAGTACATGTTGTTCTGGTGCTCGGGCATGCGGGTGACGTAGTCGGAGAGGGAGGTGAGCTCATCACCAGACTTGGTGGAGTTGAATCGGAGGAGCTTGGCGAGGATAGAGCGGTTCTGGGAGTCCTCGTGGATACCAAGCTTGAGGTTCTTGGAGAAGGCGCTGTAGAACTTGTCGAACTGCTCCTTGTCCTCAGCGATCTCCTGGAAGAGCTCAAGAGACTTCTTGACGATGTTCTTCTTGATGACCTTCATGATCTTGTTCTGCTGAAGAGTCTCACGGGACAAGTTGAGGGGAAGATCCTCAGAGTCGACGACACCCTTGACGAAGCCGAGCCACTCAGGGATGAGGTCGGTAGCGTCATCAGTGATGAAAACACGTCGGACGTAGAGCTTGATGTTGTTCTTGGTCTTCTTGGTCTCGAAGAGATCGAAGGGAGCGCGCTTGGGAACGAAGAGGATAGCGCGGAACTCGAGCTGACCCTCAACGGAGAAGTGCTTGACAGCGAGGTGGTCCTCCCAGTCGTTGGAGAGGGACTTGTAGAAGGAAGCATACTCCTCTTGAGAGATGTCCTGGGGGTTGCGAGTCCAGATGGGCTTCTGCTTGTTGAGCTCCTCCTCCTCAATCTTGGTCTCCTTGATCTTCTTGGTCTTGGGCTTCTTCTCCTCCTCATCGTCATCAACCTCCTCAATCTTGGGCTTCTTGTCATCACCCTCCTCGGTGACCTCCTCGCCCTCCTCATCAGGGACCTCCTTCTCGGTCTCCTTCTCAACGTGGAGGTAGATGGGGTATGAGATGAACTCGGAGTGCTTCTTGATGACCTCCTTGATCTTGCTCTCGTTCAGGTACTCGGTCTGCTCGTCCTTGAGGTGGAGGATGATTGCGGTACCACGGCCGAGGGGCTCACCCTCGGTGTCCTCAGTGATGGAGAAAGTACCGCCAGCGGAGGACTCCCAGACGTACTGCTCGTCATCGTTGTTCTTGGAGATGACACGGACCTGGTCGGCAACGAGGTAGGCAGAGTAGAAACCGACACCGAACTGACCAATCATGGAAACATCAGCACCAGCAGTCAGGGCCTCCATGAACTGCTTGGTACCGGATCGGGCGATAGTACCCAGGTTGTTGACAAGGTCCTGCATCATGTCAGTACTGTGTGTGGCATATGTATATGAATGACAGATCAACTTACAGCCTTGGTCATACCAATACCGGTATCCCGGATGGTAAGAGTCTTGTTGGCCTTGTCAGGAATGATGTCAATTCGGAGGTCCTTGCCAGAGTCTAGCTGGCTAGGGTCCGAAAGGGCCTTGTATCGGATCTTGTCTAGGGCATCTGAGGCGTTGGAGACAAGTTCTCGCAGGAAAATCTCCTTGTTGGAGTAGACGGTGTTGATAATAAGGGAGAGAAGCTGAGAGATCTCAGCTTGGAACTCGAAGGTCTCAGACATTTTGTCGGGTATCAAAGGAATCGTGACTATGTGAGAGAAGAAAAGGAAGAAAAATGGTTTGGAGGGAAAGGAAGGTTGAAGAGGTAGGTGCAAGAAAAATATAATATGTAGGCGCGGTCGGCCCCTCCTTCCATCTGCTTCTGCCCGCCGCCATTGTGAAGGGTTCCATGAGATTCTACGGCCAAAGTGGAAGAGCCCACCTACCTAGCGCCGCTACAGCTCCCTCTCCCCCGCCTTCCGCTAGCTCCATTGTACCTTGCCTTGCCTACCTACCTTGCCCAGCAACGGCAGCAAGAGGTGGCCAACACTGCTCTGTTTGCCTCTGATTCCGCCTGCACCTTTGCGGTCTGCCAACGATCTTGCCCGCCGTGTCAGCCTAAGGAGCCTAAGGGACGCAATAAACCTTAGGCTTCTCGATCCTAAGGGACGAAAATCTTTAGGTAACTTAGGCTAAGCTTAGGAGACTCTCTACTGGGTTTATTTTGGCATCTCCTCTAAAGCCTCGAGTTTTGTTCTCAGAGAAGGTACATACATACATTGCTTACCCCAAAAAAGCACAAATGGACCAGGAGGGAGGCAAGATGAATGGATCGGATCAGGCTCGTGTGATTGGTCATTGTTTGCTAGACTCTTTCCACGTTGCCCTTCACAAGCTCGACGTGCATCGCCCCAAATGTCTATCTTTTGCGAATTCAGGTACCACAAACCCCATCAGGCTATCCGAGTCAAACAATGAACCACTGTGATTGTGAAAAGCAGAGATTTCATTGATCTACATGAATCATACAGAAACTCAATCGTGACGGCAAAACTCCATTCATTGTTAGCGTAGACAAACTGCTCCAGAGCCTTATCGCCATGGATGGATCTTTGAGTGACCCCTCATTCGAGGCTGAAAAAGACCCTTGTTCAAGTTCCTAGGCATTCCATTTCAGAGTCCCACCGCTTCCGCTTTCTTACCCCAGCGAAAGTAACGACCCCTCGATCGAATCGAATCTTCTAGCCACACAAATCGACTGTTGCGTGTGCTGCCTGGGCATTGCTTACGACGGCCAACTGTTTCAATTGAGGCCTACCCATCTGCCAGTAGCCCAGGCGAAGTTCAAAGCGTAGCTGTGCTGAGCCGTTTTGTAATTTGTGTAGACCAATGACATGCAATTATTGAAAGCAAGGCTGAGTCCCCTTGTACAAGTAACAAATGTTTCAATCCGAGGTTGATCGAAAGGCAGATAGATTGTCTGAGATAAACAATATGCTCAGCACCCATTAATCTTGGGCAAACTGTAGGCTGCTTAACTGCTAAAATTGGATATTTGTTTGTGATCCTTCTGGTTTGTTCTTTGGTGGTTTGCCAATCGAGCATCAAGTGACCATGATATCCACCTCAGACATCAAGCTAGAAGCCAAACTTACCCGCAATCCAACGGCATGAAATTGTTTGTTTCTATTCCAGAATCTGTCATTTGTTATCGTTTATCATGAACCTTCGAGAACCACGACAACCCCATGTTCTTCGCCAAACCTTGAATTCCCATGTTGTACAAGGTACTATACACTCTATCCAGCTTTTGATACAATCCCTATCACCTACATCTCCAACACTACTCCAACCTCTCTATACTTTCTGTCCGCATAGACAAGCCCAAAATCCTCATCCTCCTCTTCCCCAACCCTCACCATCTCTACTACCTCTCCCACCACGATGACATGATCTCTCACTCTCAAGAGCCCCCCCTCTGGCGCATCTTGGAGTACCCTACACCGAAGTGCAAACATGACACCATCCTCTCTTATTATGGGCGCCTCGTCATCTTTTTGGGTATATTCCAGTCCCTTGAATGCATTCCCTCCAAAATTGCCTTTTGTGAAGTGACTCGCAACATTTGCGCCCCGCTCATCCCCTGATAGGATATGTACGTTGAAACCACCGCTTGCTCTTATAGCATCTAAAGTTCTGCTCGGCGTGGCAATGTTGAATGTGACGAGAGGCGTAGGTGCGAGTGTCAATGATGTAAAAGACGACATTGTCATGGCGCGAGGGCCATCGCCAGGTTGGTTTGATGTACAGACAACGACACTGTGGGGGAGGAGACGCATGATAGAGCGTAGCTGTTCGGAGAGAGGGCCTTGTTTCGTTGGATGGACGGTCGGGGGT